GAGGTCTGCTACTCTAAAGGTTCTCTAAAAACCGGCAAAAATCTAAGCGCGGTTCTGAAAAAATCGACAACTTTCACACTTCTGCTACTCTAAAGATTCTCTAAGAATGAGCAAAACCCCAGACGTGGAGTCAAAACATTTTGTCGGGTTTATTCGTCCTGCTCATTCCATCCTCAACGCAGAGATGCGTCAATGCAGCAATATTTGGCAGTTTCTTACAAAAAAAAACTTTACAGACATTTTTGTTCAAAAGACTCAATACGCAAATAGTAAAACCCCAGCATTTGGAGAATAAGTAGGTCTATGGGCTGAGCAAAACAAGTTGCGGTTTATTCGGTATTTAGTTGCTGTCGGTTTCTCGAGAAACGCAAAATCGATCATCATCCATCAAATCCAGCGAATCGCATCACATGCAGTTAACTCCTAACTATATTTAACTCATAATCACTAGCTTGTTAATGCGGATATTCAATAAATCGTGGAAAAGAGTTGGGCAATTAGTCACATTCTCCCTCGCCGTATTTTTCAAGCAAAACATCAAATGTTTACTTTTGAACAATACATACTTAACATTAATGTACAAGATCATTGCACATGATCTTGCGTATATCAAAAGCAAATTTGCTTGTCCTTATCTCATAAATATCTCATTTTTGCTGGAAATGTCGCCGCAAAACCCGCTATAGACTGGAAGCTTTCAAACAGCTAAAGTGCATTTCAACAGCGAGTCCTTCCAGACTTTGTGGGAAATTTTTGCTTCCTGTAAAAGCAGCCTGGCAGTTTCAATCGCCTTTTTCCGCCAGGGAACAAGTGAAAAGTGTGTAAATATTCAAGCCGCCACAGCTCCTGGGCTATAACAAAACAAAATCAGTCATATATTGACTTTAAAGCTACAGATTATATAAAGAAAGCCACTGCGCCTTAATCCACAGTTCACAAAGAAATGAAGTCTGCTTCTACATTTACGGTGTGCTTCATAGCGACAGCGCTGTGCTTGGTGGCAGCTCAGCAATATGTCCCTATTCCCATTTACATTCCTACTATTGTGGTGAATCAGACTGTTCCAGCCAATCAAAGGTAGGAGATTAAAAAAAATAGTTCCCCCTTAACTCTAGTGGCCTCCTAGTCAGTATAATGGCACTGGATATCGGCCACCAGGTGCCTATTCTCCCTATCCAGGCAATCAATTCTCCAACTACACCCAGTATAATCGCTCCTCTAACAGCTCGTACAATGGAACCCTGGATGGGCACCTGTTTGCTGGACAGGTTCAACTGTATGATCGATTGCTTTTTAACCAGGTCAGTTTTTTGCAACATCTTTGACTTGCATTTGGGAAGGTTTTCCGGGCTTTGAAGCCGTGGTCCATGGGAATTTCTTACTAACGTTTCGGCCACAACTGCGCTGGACATTATCAAAGGCGATGAGGCAGTGGGCGAAGTGATCTCCCGTGCTTTCCGACTAAGACTGGTCCAACTGCTGGATCCAGTAGTGCACCTTCGGGATTTAGACCATGGTGGAGGAAGGTTTTCCCTGATGTTTCGCCAGCACAAGTGGCTGGCATCTTCAGCGGTGGGTTGCTCAACGCAGCAATCGCCTCTGAAGACGCCAAGCCATTGAAGCTTGCATAACGTTAGGAAGACATTCTTTTCACCATCGTCTAAAAGCTTGAAAAACTTAACAGTTGGGGCCCGACACTGGTTTGGACGCAAAAAATCTCAATCCGAAAATCAGAGATCTCAGATTCGCTTCAGTATAAACTGATTTTTTTAGCCGTAAAGGTGTCAACTTGGCACGTAGCAACGCGCTGGCCATCTTGCATCTCTCTCGGGCTTTTATGGGTGCGAGGGAGACTTCCGATGCCAACTGCGTTCTTGAATGGAAAATTCAATTTCGCTTGATTCATTCGAATGGGAATGTGTTAATCATTTCATTTAGTTTGATCTGTCTTTTAGCCAACCAACTCTCCGTTCTTTCGAGTTATTTTACTTAATCACAAATAGATGCTCAAGAAGGTATAAAAGACATGGAAATTTCAATTTATTGCCTCAGTTAGTCGGAAAGCACGGGAGATCACTTCGCCCACTGCCTCATCGCCTTTGATAATGTCCAGCGCAGTTGTGGCCGAAACGTCAGTAAGAAATTCCCATGGACCACGGCTTCAAAGCCCCGAAAAACATTCCTAAATGTGATTTAAGCGGCCGTGAAAGCCTTCAGAGTCTGATCTTTGACTTGCTTTGCTGCCACTTAGGTGTACGTGAAGGAAAAGCGTTGGTGGACATACAGGGAAAAGATCATCGAATATCCATCGGCACTGCCTGCTGGATACACCCGACACGAAACTATTTCGGCGATTCGCATCTACAATCAGTTTCTGGATGGAAATTCGGCTCGAGCCACAATTTTGAAAGGCGGCACTGGTTATCAGTATGTGAAAATTCGTCTGGAATCTAAATACAACAAAGGCTTCAAATACTTAGTCCAGATCTATGGACACTAAGTTGGCAGCAATTAATCAATGTATATCAGTGTTTGACTTTGGTAATAGTAGATAAGTGTAGCCAGTTAATAAATCGTTTATTCCGCTGGCTTGTTAGGCACGATAGAATGTAACTGATAATATTTATATCCGCTGCAAACGGTTTTTAATGTAATTGATGTAGTAACAATTACTGTTCCAGGAAATGCTGTTGAATATGTTTAGCATTTCTGGCTTGAATAAACTGATGCATTCTAGTAATGTGTGTTAATGCCGCTCTGTGTGTCGATGTGCCGCGACTCTTACGACGCGGCACTTTGAGCAACACTTAACACTTAATCTCATTCAAATTGGCAGGCTTCGGCAAGTGTTTGGGTTAATAATTGGAAGAAATCGTCGGCTAGATGAAAATGATGTAAAATTGAAGAAATGTTTTCCTTAGAAAAATTTCTTCCTTATTATCGATGCAAACACTTTATAAATGCACATTTCTGACCTTCTTACGTCGAAAGGAATCGACTGAGCTCAAGAAACACGCATGTTAATTTTTTTGAAAAAATTAAAATGTTTTCAAACAATTTCACATGCGTGTTTTTTTAGCTCAATCGATTCCTTTCGACGTAAGAAGGTCACAAATGTGCATTTATAAAATGTTTGGGTCAATAATAGGGAAGAAATCGTCGGTTAAAGATCGTGAAAGCTCAAAAACGCTTAAAATTTGCCGAAAATGTCTATTATTTCGCATCTGCAACTTCTGCCATGTTTTTTAATGAGTTCGATGCATTTGTCGCGTCCGTGAGCTGAAAATGATGTAAAATTTCAGACATTTTGAGAAAATTTGCATTTTTTCAAAAAATCGACCCCCACCCTTAGGAAAATTTCGGCCAAAAATCAAAATTTCACATGCGTGTTTTTTGAGCTCAATCAATTCCTTTCGACACAAGAAGGTCAGAAATGTGCATTTATAAAGTGTTTGAGTCAATAATAAGGAAGAAATCGTCGGCTAAACAACGTGAACGCTCAAAAAACGCTTAAAATGTGCAGAAAATGTTCATTATTTCGGATCTGAAACTTCTACTATGTTTATCAATGAGTTCTATGCATTCCGCGCTTCCGTGAGCTGAAAATGACGTAAAATTTGAGACATTTTGAGAAAATTTTCATTTTTTTTAAAAATCGATCCCCATTCTTGGAAAAGTTTCGGCCAAAAATCAAAATTTCACATGCGGGTTTTTTGAGCTCAATCGATTCCTTTCGACGTAAGAAGGTCATAAATATGCATTTATAAAGTGTTTGGGTCAATAATAAGGAAGAAATCGTCGGTTAAAGATTGTGAACGCTCAAAAACGCTTAAAATTTGCCGAAAATGTCTGTTGTTTCGCATCTGAAACGTCTGCCATGTTTTTTAATAAGTTCCATGCATTCCGCGCTTCCGTGAGCTGAAAATGACGTAAAGTTTAAGACATTTTAAGAAAATGTTAATTTTTTTCAAAAAATCGACACCCACCCTTGGAAAAATTTCCACCAAAAATCAAAGTTTCACATGCGTGTTTTTTGAGCTCAATCGATTCCTTTCGACTTAAGAAGGTCACAAATATGCATTTATAAAGTGTTTGGGTCAATAATACGGAAGAAATCGTCGGCTAATGATCGTGAACTATCAAAAAACGCTTAAAATGTGCCGAAAATGTCGACTTTTACTTCTTTAGGAAAGTAAATAGCTCAAACTTATATATCGTAAATGGGGTTTTTGCGAAAATAAATCAAATATATTTTTGTATGTTCTATATTACCACCATACATGTTACTCTAAAATATTAGTTCCAAATGGAAATTATTATTTAAAAAATCATTCACAAAATATTATGTTAAGTTGAATATCGACCTGCACACCTTAAATCCTAACGTCTAACTATGTATCTTCAAGTACATTTACTACTAATGTTGAAGCTTTAATTAATACAATTAATCCGCCTTCAGCTCTAGTTCTGTTCAATTCTTCCTTAGCACTTCCGCACCAAATTTCCTGCAGTTCTCACCTCTTAGGCTTTTCTTGCCGTCTCTGCCAGACACTTTTCGAGTTGCAAAGTTTCCAGCTGAAAATCAGTCTCATAAACTCGGGATTCACGGAAAATGAAATTTGGAGTTTTTTTTAACCTTATTTTTCCTTACCTACTACATGTTATGCTCGATATCACAATGTGAAAATATATTAAAGTCTTCAGAATTACATATACATTACAAATCACAAATATACAACATTTTGACTCACAGAAAAATGCGCTTTTAAGAGATGAAACCAATTAGAATTATTTCCTGAGATAATCAGAAACATTTTTAAATTAATGTTTCATATCAAAAAGAGCGCACTTCAACGCTCTACCCAGTAGAAAAAACTGGAGATCTGTTACTCAAAAGGTTCTCTATTTATGGCCAAAAAACTTACAAAAGTCGGCTGGTTTCGAACTTTCGCATTTTCTCAGAGAACTAGAAACTTTAGTAAAATGATGTTTTACGTCCCCAGAGCCAAACATTTCCAATTTCCTGTTCTGATCTTCTCTGGGCATGTGTTTTTTGCATATCAAATCAGATTACCCGCTTTCAGTCCTCTTCAATCACTTTCGGCGCAAAAATAGCAAACATTACCGAAACGAACTGCTAGCAGCATAAACTACGCCCTCTTTTCTCAGTTTTCCGACACGGAAGTAACTCGTTAACAGCGAAGAGATAAAAGCATAAAAAAACACACAATGATCAACAAAGTAGTAATTAACAAATTCCAACGCGTTCGGACGGCGTTCCTTTAGCAGAGCGACTAAAAAATAATATAGAGCAGTTAAAAGACAGACAAATTTAGATGATATAAAAACGCTTTTTATCGCGAGCGAAGTTTAAATTGGTGCAAATGGGTGGTTAGGTGTTGGTAGCACATCAGAGTGACTGACCTGCAAGGCATGTTCTTGTTTATGCACTTGTAAAAATAATCTGCACACACTTAATAGCAGTGAATGGAATTAGCTCATACTAATGAGCATTTTCTTAATAAATATTTATAGCAAAAGCGCATTATTCTAGGGAAACAATTGAAAAGTTAATGTGGCAACTTTTCCTAGACTTTCGAGGCCATTTCTTGAAACAAATGGGTTTTTAAGCCGTCGTTCGGTAGAATTTCTTCTTGACGTTTCGCAAGCACGAGTGGCTTGCATCTTCAGAAGTGGTTTGCTTGAACGCTTACA